TCATAACTAAGGAAATGTTTCTGCATATAGAATGGAGGATCCATCTAAAAGTATTAATGCAGAGAAGGGGTTCTCAAACTCACCCATGGACCAAATCCACTTGGTTTGATAAAAAATTTTTATTGGAACACAGCCACCCTCCTTTGTTTATGTATTGTCTATGCTGCTTTTGTGCTAAAATAGCAGAGTTGAGTAGTTGTGACAGAGGACATGTGGCCGAAGCCTAAAATATCTGGTCCTTTACAGAAAAAAGTTTGCTGACCCCTGAAATAAATAGTTATTAATCTGGACAATTCAGACCCCAAACATCTCTTTCCCCCTTAATAGTGTCCTTTGGAGAGTGTGAATAATTGTGTTAACTCTTTGCTATCTTACAGCAAAGTGTTACATTAGTACACCTTGGCATCATGGCAAAATTATACTTTTATATAAAATTATCTTTTTTTCAGAAATGAAATCAAAATAATGGATTTGAAAAACTGAAGGTGGATGAAGTTTTCTTTGTCAATAATGTAATAAATATTGAGAAAGGAGTGGCTTATTGGTTTTTCAGCTAATGGCAAATTAAAATTCCTCCAAATGTCCTGTGTGTTATCACGGTGTGTTTGTCTAATCATCCTCAATGCTGTTCCCTTACTTTGTTCCTAAGTGGCTCAAAGAATTTCTTGAGAAATTTGGTCCACAGATATGTAATCACCTTGGTTTACCCATCAATAAGGACTAATTCACAGCTCTTATTGAGTCAAATCCTTCCCAGTCTGAGCCTCCCTTCTCAATAACAGGAAAGAAATGGTCATCAAAACTCAATTGGAAAAATCCATCTTGTACATCAAATCACTCCCACTGGCAACCACTAAGCAGTAGGAGTGGAATGGAAGCAGGGAAAAGGAAAACGTTCACTTTTCACTTTATACACCGCTGTTATTTTAATGTTTACACTGAAGTGCATAATTACTCTCTTGATTAAAAAGAAAAGGAGAAATCTATTTTACTGCATGATTGGAATGGAGATTCTGCCATGGCTGTGGCTCTAATTTGAAAGCCCCCAGCCAGATAGAAGCTCAGCACCTGCTGGCTCTGGCGGACACCACTGCATATTATTACCCTGCATGACTTAGTTGTCGAGGTCACTTGCCGCAAGTCACGTCCTTCGCTGTCTTCATTAGTGGTCTGGTCTGCATGCTGCTTCACATTTTTTCTCAGTCGTTTAGATTTACACTGAATTTCAGTCAACAAGCCTGAAAACATAATCATAGAGACTTCACCAATCACAGAAAATACTGTTGGATGCATGGTCAGGAAGCAGCCGACGTGTAGTCAACTCAGAAGATCTATGCAATTTGGCACAGAACTAATTCTAGCCCTTTTGACATTTTACAAAGAAGAGGCCAAGATTTAAGACTAGCCCTTGAACAGGATATTTAACCTCTGTGAGTCTCAGTTTTTTCATTTTTAAAATGAGAATAATATCTACCTCATAGAGTTTTGTGTAGATTAAATACAATCAGATGGTTTTCTAAAGAGGCCAAGATTTAAGACTAGCCCTTGAACAGGATATTTAACCTCTGTGAGTCTCAGTTTCTTCATTTTTAAAAAGAGAATAATATCTACCTCATAGAGTTTTGTGTAGATTAAATACAATCAGATGGTTTTCTAAAAATGTGCTTTATAAAAAGAATTTGTGATACTAAAACATTGTACAAATGTAAGGTATTCAGGCAATGAAAAGGTGAATGACATTCTCCCTATTCCTGGTCTAGAGGACCTTGAAAGCTGATGTTTCAAAGCATAGCATTCATACTATTTTCATCCATGTTTACGTAGTCTACCATGAGAAGTATATCCAATCTCATATATAAAACACACATAATTAAACTTGTTGAGAAAAACAAACGTTGACCACCTTTAGGGAACAGTTTTAAATCAGAACTGTACAAATCATTAAGGATATAGTTAAAGAGAAAAATAACCCAAGGTGACTGAAATTTCTTTCAAATGATCGTACAATATCATGACTGATTTACACTTTAACAGGGCTCTAAAAAATAATGTCAAACAATCTTCTCTAGTCCCACTTCATGTCCTTATTCTTCTCTCATTGTTAATGAAACAAAGTTTTAGGAATTTCTTTATACAGGAAATTTATTTTATAGAATCATGGAAGATCTGCATCTGTCACTTGATGAGTTTGTGTTCATAAATAATATTATAGACTCTTATAGGTGGGCTCATGTAAAGCGCCCTCTGAACTGCAGCTGGAACAAGTTCATGTTTAAGTGATGAGCAACCTGAGTCCCCCAGTATCAAAGTGTTTCCATTGCAGGATTGGATTCCAGCAGCAGCCCCTATCGCAGGCTCTTGTTTCATGTATGCTAAAATGAGATTGAGATCGGCCACTATAAAACTTTCATCCACCCAGAGCCAGATTATTTACTCAGACCTATTTTTTCCCTTCCTGCACGCATTATTTCTCTGGGTCCATCCCAGTTGCCTGTAGAGTCTGGGAACAATAGAACTGGAGTCACCTTCTGAAGGCTTTTATTTCATGTTGCATTCCCTCCCTGAACGTTATCATCCCCTTGGTGACATTTGTTTGTCTATTTGTATTTTGAGGAGGAACAGAACATATCTCAGAATCTGAGTGGCCTGTAGAATTTGCAGAATGAAAAATTAATTATGTTATATACTAGCATGCATTACAATTTTTGATGAAGATTACAGTTCCTCACAAAGCCAACAGTTAATACAATGTCTCTATCAGATCGAAAGACAAAATTATATTAAAACTCGGAGTAGTTAATTTCCGGTGTAAATCTATTCAAATGGGCTCAAAGCTGCACTAAGAAAAGATGGATTCTTAAAATGACCTGGTTTCAAACTCTATTTAGACAATTCAGAGGCAGTTATACCTCATAAGTCATCCTTATTTTTTCTACAACTATAAATTTTTATGTTACTTAGGCTATAAATAAGACAAATATTAAAATTAAATTTGGAGGAAACTTAGACTGTCATTCTTTGTAACTCATTAAAGCATGTTATTTTAACTATGTAAATGTCACTTCTGTTCACATATAATTCGTTGCAACAAAGAGCAACAAAAAAACAGCTGATTCTTGCAAGTGAAGAAAATGTTCTTTGGCTGACAGTTTGGACAATTTCAGTAGTTCATTAGCCTTTTCAGGAAATTAGATGGCTTAGTAGAGTCCTTCTTTAATATGTGAAGTACCATTCTCGTGATGTTTTACCTGACATCTGCCTCCTTAAGAGATTTTTAGCGGAATTTAGTTACTTGAAGTGAATACCTGTATACATACATTCAGCCAACATTCCCATCTCTCTGCACTTCCTTAGTCGACACTCCTGGCATTTTCTTCGCATGTACATATCCATCACACAGTTGCCCCCATTTTTACACTTGTACACGGCGTTTTTGGTAATGCTTCTCCTGAAGAAACCTGTGGAAGAAACACTGAAAAGTGTAAAAAGGCTCCTGACAATTTCTCAGAAAAACACATTTGGATTGAAAGATGCCAGAACATTTTCTCAACCACTGGAGAGCACCCAGGTGATCCTTGAGTGTACCTGTGCCAAAGGGTACTTTCAATTATACAGTGTCATCAAGACTGCTGCGATTTTTCATTTATCTCTCAAAAATAAAGACAAGTTTGAATTATAGCCTCTGAAGAAAAATCTTTGTTTTTTAAGATAAATTACTTTTATATATCTTTACTGGAGAACAATTCTGTGCCAGTGAACACTAGGTGCCGGTGGTATGAAAGCAAATAATTCATTCCTGCCCTCTTCGAGTTTGGAGGCTGGCTGAGGACAAAGACATGCAAACAACTAAAAAAGTGAAATTAAGTGTTGCATGGTGTGACAGGAGGCTGGGCTGGGCAGACAGGACAAAGAGACAGGTTAATTTTGGATGAAGAGGTCAGGATAGGATTTGCACTGAGCTAAGTCTTGGCAAGTGAGTTGCTATTTACCAGGCGTTAAGGGAGAAAGTCACATTCAGGGTTTCAATTCAGTACTTAATATGCCAGCCTGGTGTAATAATAAAAATGCCAGCCTTGATTTAAAAGCAAACATCTCCCCTGAGAAGGTGTAGTGCAGCTGTGGCCTGTAACAGGGAAGATGCCTAGAGTCTGGAAAGGGATGTGACTGGCTTCCTCTCTGTTTCTCTTTTTCCCACTTTCCCTCTCTACTCTTTCTCCTCCATCTGACTAACCACAGATTCTGACACTTCCAGAGGCAAGAGGGCAGAGTTGAAAAGGGAAAAGATCACGGGAGGCAAAGGAAAATATGCCTGGAAAGTGCTTACTTGCCTGGTGTTGTCATAAGCTGGCTTGTGCTTAGCAAGTTTTCAATGTGACTCTTTCTTCCATGGGATGGGTCTTTAGAGAACTCCTCTCTGCACTGGGATACTTTCATCTGCACTTCCTTGATGAGAAGTGCATGCATCTCTATTCTAGCCCAAGGCTTGTATCCCCTTCTTCAGTATCTAGCAATATGGCAATTCACTCCACACTTTTTTCACCAAGGTCCCTCCATGTGGCCCTCTTGGCATGGACCTAAGAAAACCTCATGATGGCTTACTCTGGCCCAACAAACCATGAAGCAGGGAAATATCTCCCACTTATCCATAAGTAGTCAGCCATCCAACTTCCTCCCTCTCAACTTCTCGGGTGAAGGTCAGATGCCAGTCCTCCATGTCCCTCAGCTTAAGCGAATATGTACAAATCTCCTGAAATGACCCTGTTGACCCTTTCATTGGGCCTGGGACAGCAGGACCTCCTTAGTCCTGCTGACTTTACCTGGGGAAGGGGGGACACCTTTTCTTTTTCTAATTCTCACAAAAGTAGTATATGTTCCAGTGGTGACCCCAATGAGAAGACACCCCCACCACCTCTGACACTCCCCAAATCTTTATAAGACCTCTCTACAATTTCTGATTCCTGATCCCTTCATACCCTCAAAATAGGTGAGGTTATTCAACTGACTCTTGAATATTTACTATGAAATTTCTGCAAGACAAGCTCACTTTGGAATGTAGAATCTAGAGTCTTCGTGACTCTACCAATGTTGAGAGTTCTTCCTATTTTAACAGACTGTTGGAATAATATATAACATTTATTAAGCACTTACTAGCTATTGTTTTAACCTCTTTAAGTGCATTTAGTTATGTAATGCTCATATCAATTTTATGATAAAGATAATACTATATGTCCCCATACTATAGATGAAAGAAAAAAAAAAAAGGACAGTGAGGTTTAGTACCTTGGCCATGATCACACTGTTAGTAAGTAGACTGGGAGGATTCGAACCAGGGCAGTCATGCTCTAAAGCTTGTGTTCTTAACCACTATGCTACGATTGCCTCCTTTGGGTCAAAAGAAAATTGAATAACTTAGTATTAAATACCTACTATCTGAAAGTTGTGTTTTCTGACCTGGGAAATATCAAGATGAATAACACATTCCTTGTCTTCAGAGTTTCCAACTTAGTGGGAAGACAAAAAAAAAAAAAAAAATTAAGAGCATAAAACAAGATAGAGTGAAAGGAAAGATAACCAAGTAATAAATAATGTAGAAGCAAAAGTGACTATTTCAGGGCCACACTATACACTTGTAAAAGCCGTGCCACATTTGGGGTGAGGGGCAGCAGTCACATCAGAGTCATGAAGACCTGCCTATTTATTACGACAACATTCCAGCAGAAGGCAAAAGAAAATTGTTCTAATAAAATAAATATAATATGGTTTCCCAGTAGCTAGAAATCAAATGTCTTCAGATAAAGGAATTATATGGGGTGGGAGCAACCTTGATTAATTCTGAGTGGAGGGAATCAGAGAGGGCTTCACAAAGGAAGTGGAATTTGAGCTGGGACTTGGAGAATAAATAGGATTTTGAAACACGGACCATGAGGGAGGAAAACAATTCTGGGAAATGAACAAAGGCAGGGTGTTATGGAAGTTCCAAGGAAGGGTGGATAATCTATCTTCATAGGAGGGTAGAGCGTGGGGAGAATTCATGGGAGATGAATAAGGAAATGTAGTGGGAACAGAATGTGATTAAATGCCCTTGAACACCAGGCAAAGGAGGTGAGTTTTTACCATGTAGGATGAGAGATGCCATAAGAGGGACAGGGGAGGGTATGATCTAACCTGCATGTTGGGAAGAGTCTTTGGGGCAGGCTAAAGAAAGGTGGAACAGAGAGATTGGAGACCGGAGACAGGAAACTATCACCACAATACTGCTGAGAGGTGCTCAATGCCTGAACTCGGCTGGGATAGAACAGACAGGAGGAAACCAGGAGAACATTCAGGTCTTGGTAATTAAGTATGAAAACAGAGGCTGAAGGAAAAGTTAGAGATGTCAAGGTTAACAAAGTCATGGGCTTGCTTGTGAATTTGTCAGCTGGCATACATTTCAGTAGGAAAGATCTTAACGTTTTCCTAAATGTCAAATCCAACCAAATAAAGCCTAAAAAAAGACTTTTGTGTTTCAGAGCAGTGTTGATATAGAGAGTGCAAATATCAAAGCATGCATTTTAAAAGAAACTAAAAGCAAAAAGAGAATTTTTTTTTCTTGGTCTCAAATCATGAGCTCAATGACCACTTTAGCCTATGTGAGTCAGTCTTCTTACTAATCCTCAGCCCCTCCCCAAAACGATTCCTATTAAAACTGTCATAGGCACTGATAGACGCTCATTAGCTAGCAAAATGAGATCCCTTATTCCAAGATGAGTCAAAGGACCAGTGCATAGAACAATTCTGCAGGTTTTTTTAATTCTGGTATTAGCCGAGAAAGAAATCATTATCATCTCAATAGCTGAATTAATTAGCTTTCACACTGTGATGGCAACACAATGCTATCATTATATCATTTAAATATGGGTACATATACTTACTGTATTTATACTTATGCAAATCTATCCATACACATAATCTGCCTCTATCTTGCTCTTTCTTGTGCATATTCAACAATGTTCATATCAGAAAAGTCATTTGAAAGTGAATGGAAAGGAAATTTACTGAGGAACAGAGTCTTCCTGGTAATAAAAGATGAGTAAACAAGGTTGGCAGCGCCATCTGAGGAATGTAGCACTAGGGGGATCCCTCAGGTGGCAAGCAAATAGCAATATGAGGGTACTTTTTTTTCCCCACAGATCCCTGCTTTTCTGCTTCTTTATACAGGTGGAACCCACATACCACAGCCTATTCCCAAGTCATGCACACATATATGTACATACACATGCACAGGCCAAACTCCAGTGACTGACACTGGTAGCCACTGTAGCAGGCTACCCATTACTTTAAAATCAATAAAATATTGGTTGATATTTAAAAATTTTAAGGGTCTTCAAGCTTTTTAAAGAGCAACAAACACAGAGCTGAGTAACCAGACAATTTTCCATCCAATATGGCCAAAACAGACACAATTTTTAGGTCTGTCTCAGTTTATATATCACTTATTTTGTGCCAGGCACTATTCTACACACTTTGCATATGGTGATTCATTTAATATTCATAACAATCCAGTGAGGTAGATACCTTATTATCTCCCTCTTACAGAAGAGGAGACTGAGTTACACTGAGATTAATTTGCTCTGGGTCCTACAGATAGCAAACAGTAGAACTCAGATTTGTTCCTTGATAGGCTCAGTTCAGACTTCTGCTCTTAACCACTACATTATGCTGTCCTTCCAGTAAAGAATTTACATTCCTAAAAATTGTCTTGAGACATGAATCTCCCCAAGTCTCACACAGCATGGTCAGTGCCCATCCCACGGCAGAGACTCATTACCTTCCCCAATTTGTTTGAGTGCATAAGTGAGTGTTTTGCAATAATTTTAGGCATGCTAAGGTGAAAGAATAATTTATCAAGTTACTCATGGGTGCTTTGTTCTTGCCCCTATTGCTTTTTCATTTTACTTCCCATCCCAAGTGGGTAGTCATCTTTTTATGTTCACTTGCTGAGACAAAGACTTAAGTTGTCTACCTCTAAATGAAGATAACTCTCACAAAGGGCTTTTGTTTTCAACCCCTTGTTGACAGAGTTATATTGGACCATCTGAAAGATGTTGGAGGTAGAGGTCACTGTTTTTAGAGTTGGGGGAAGCAGAGGCAGCTTAGCTGGAAAGAGGTTTGGGCAACTTTTCCAGGGTCTGGGAATGGGATGAGTCTCACAGGTTCTGAGAATATTGAACCAGCATCAATAAAGAGACTCCGGAGAGGTGACAGATCTCTAGTGGGATGGCTCTGAGATGATGACAGGAAGACACTAAGAACCATGGCCTTGAAAATGCTGGGGAAAGATGTCCATGTTGAACTGTGGCTGAGTCGTTCATTTTCAAGGAACAAATGCAAAGTTGGACAAGGAGCATATGAACAGATACAAAATATTTTATCCTGTGTAGAACCTCTGAGATTTGTGCATAATCCTGGGGGAAAGAGC